TAAATAACTAAATAAAATCATATAAACAAGGTTTAAGCCTTAATAAGGTAATAATATTTCTTATTTATCCGTGTGTGACATAATATTAGGAAAAGTGTGTCAACAATTCTATTATACATATACCGTACTTGCCCTCCAGATGTATTCATACCCCCAATGGAAAAGGAAGAAAAAAAACATAGTGAAGTTACAGGTTGGATAACATGTGTTGCTTAAAATAATTTTAACAATGATATACTGTAATTGGAATAGTGTCTCACTGAGCAAACTCATATCTAGGGTTTATCATTTCTGAATTCTAGAAAACATTAGGTACACATTTAATCACACCACATCTCCAACTATTCTTTAAATAACATCTAACAAAAACACATTGCTCTTGGGAAGTGCAATTCAGGCCTCTGGTACTGCATAGATTCCCCAGAAATTTTCCTGTGTACCTGGAGTAGTAAAGAAAGTGACACATCTAAGACATGCATCATTATGGTTAAGATCAGAGAGCTCTCCAAAGACAAATGATCATTAACCTCTACTACTGGGGTAGTTATGAAAGAGTCCACTAACAACTGAATCTGCCACTTTACAGTCTAGTCTGTTATTCAGAATAGTACTGGTATATTAGAAACCCTGCAAGGGAGAGCAAGGAAGAGGACACATGTACTGTGCATCTATAATTTGAAGTATTAGCACCCATTACTGTACATGATTAGCATTTCATATAACCTTGATAATACTCAGATTGTGAGAATTTATCTTCTAAAGCTGCTGAATTATATCGCAAAGGTAGTGCTAAGAAAAAAAAGATCTCTCTCATAGTGTTTGATCTATTATTTATGTAATGTGTATCGGGTCTCTGATGTAATAAAACTGATATTTGTTTGCAGCCCCCAACCCTCATCATTTACCTTCCCTCTGCCGCAAAACCAAAGCTCAGATCATAACCATCCGGAAAACTGAATCTCACATCTTGTTGACTTCTTTCAGAAAGCACTACTTCGAAAAATGTTTGCATTTGGTGAAGCCCTTTCATTTTTTCCTAACTCGCGTTAGTATGTAGCAATAGTAGTTGAGGTGTAGATTTCAAGGTTTAAGCATTCATTGCATACTGTGACATTGTTAGCTAATGAAATCTGATCTACCTGGAATTGTGAGGTCAGAAGAATACTATTTTGTGTTTGAGGAAAGCTATGTGGATAATGTGGATATAGTCCCTTCCATTACTGCTATTGGATATTCTTACAGTAAGAAAATATAAATTACTTTCAGGCTACAAAACCCATTACTAGTAATGACTTTCTATAGATATTTTATAAGAAATCTTTTTTTATTTGCTATTAAGCGTGTATGATCGCAGAAGCAATTCCAATCTGATTTCACAGTGCTACATCTTTCCATCTGCAATAATGATAACGTTTATATTTGCCTGGAGATAAGTACTGTATATCTGGCCTTGCATTTTCAGAAGCGGAAATGTTGTCAAAAATTCACATCTCATATTGTGAGAAATTCTTTAAATGCCCCCGAGTAACCCCTTGTTAATGGGATTAGCTTTTCTGGCAAGGGACTCATAATTAGTAGATTTCTGAACTTGGTTTTTTGTCATGCTCTTCCTAACAGAATAATTAATTTTCAAAACAGCTTTATGTGTCTTTTCACTTGTTATCTAAAAATTATTTTTTCACAATTATGCTGCTTAATGTCAGAGAGTATGCCTGTGATTTTTGTATTCTCTGAAGACTGCTTTTTATCTGTGAGGATTGATAAGTAATTTTTTATCTTAAATATCCACAGCAGCATACAATAAACCAATATAAAGAACAAATTTTGTTTTTACTTTTTGATATAATGGGAATTTTAAATGTAAAAAAAACATTAAATGTACATTATCAACAGCTAATGTTTTAAAGTAGTAAATCAAATGAATACAAGGCTAAAATATATAATATATACAGTAATATATATTTAATTCATACTGTTCTGTGCATTCACTGAAATTACAAAGTAGTCTGATAATGGGCAACCATAATAGGTTGACATTTATTAAGGGTTTTAGCACTACTGCATGATAAATGTTTTCATACTTATTCAGAATTATAATTGCAACAAACTGCATTAATAGGAATGAAATCTGTACAGTTACAGTATTTCAGTGAAAGAAACTAATGGTACCTTAAAACAACATGACAGAAGCATACCAACCATCAAAACTCCCTTCTTCAGATCAAATGAAGAAATATTTATTGTATATTTCCTTAAGACGTACAGTAACTGTAAAAATAATTACTATCCACAGGGATGCTGAACAGCACAACTACGTTTTCTGTTCTAAAATAATGAGCTGAGAAACTAGTTTGAGTGTCATAGCACACAGGAGAGAAAAATATTGATAACAAGACAGTTGGAGACATCAAGTTTAATTTTTAAAGAGACTTGGCATTTTCCACAGGCCTCTGTGTTAATCCTTTTCAAAATTCAAACCTTACATTTAGGAATTCTGCCAGAAGATCCCCTGAGTCTGCAAGAAACTAAGCCCTCTTAGTCTTTTTCTGGATTATGTCAGTATGAATAATATATTTTGTAGAGAAAAAAAATGAACAGCTAAAAACGACAAAACAAATTCCTCGTTTGTAAATAAAAATTGATTATTTCATTATTTTGAAAAAGCAGTTTTTATCACAGACACATATTTAACTTAATGAATTATTATCATGGATGACACAGTGGTTGCCTCAGCATTGATGCCCTGAGTTCAGTTTCTAGGGTACTATCTGTAATGAGTTTGTATGTTCTCCCAGTGCTTCTGTTTGGTCTCCACTGGGTACTCCAGTTTACACACTCATTTCAAAGACATAAGGGTAGATTAATTAGGTTCTGGGAGAACTGGTCCTGATGTGAACGTCTCTGTGTGCTTTGTGTGTCTTTGGGTGTATGCTGCCTTGTATTCGTTGCTTGCTGGGATAGGCTCCCAGCAAGCAACTGTCTGTTACGAAGCTGACATCTCTGACTCAGTAATTCTATTCCAAAGCTGAGTTGGTCGGAGCAAAAGTGGGAACAGAACTCTAATAAATCTGATAAATCTCAGCTTTTCTCAATGGCTTTGATAGTTTCTCACTCGCCCAATTTGGGTTGGGGAACTTGTCATTATCCGATAACTGGCAGGATTCATAGACAGGTTGCGAAACTGCTTAGTTAAAGCCCCAGCTAGGGTTAGGATTAGCGTTTCCCACACTGATTAGACAATTTTTAAGGTCAGGGCTGAATTTTGGGGCCCAAGCCAGGTTTAGGATGAGTGGTTTTTTGCTTTTATCTGAATTTTTTTTTCCCGGAAATTCTCTGGGGCCTGGATGGTGCGGTGCACCACCAGTCATTATATCGCAAAAATATGTCAGTCACATAAAAAGTTGTTGCCAATCATTACTGAATCCCATTCATTTACAAGGGCTTAGATCAATGGTTTTGATTGTTTCCCACTCCTACTTTTTGGTTGGGGAACATGTCAAAATCTGATGCCCAGAGACGTTCAGATATAATTGCGGAAATACTCGGTTCACACCCCAGGTAGAGTTAGGGTTAGCGTTCACGCACTACTTAGACAATTGTTATGGTCAGGGCTGGACTTGGGGCCCCAATTCAGGTTTAAATTGAGTGGGTTATTGCTCCTATCTGAATTTATTTTGGGAAACTGCTAGCTGTCTGGCTGGGGCAGTATACTGTTCACAAATTGTATAGCAAAGCTGATTCTGTCAGATCAAAAGTTTAACAAGACATTATAGAATCTTTTAAATTTCTACCAGCTTTTCTCAATGGCTTCTATTGTTTCTCACTAATACAATTTGGTTTGGGGAATGTCAAAATCTGATGACTGGAGATAGATTGCAAAGGTTAGCGTTCACACACTTTTTAGACAATTGTTATTGTCAGCGCCGAATATTGGGGCCTAAGACTCAAATGCTTGTTATAAATGCTTGTTTTAGCATTATTAAAAATAAGAAGATTCCCTTCAAAATTATAAGGGAACAGTACAAAACTAGAACAAAAACAAAATAAAACAGCTGAGCATTATCCACTGCCTTTCTAAAGACTAGGCTCTTTTCTGTTATGTGGTCATTAACAGATTTATTTCTGCTTGTGAATGTGAAAGCAAGATTTTAGAAATTTCATTCTCAACTTTGGGCTCCACCTGCTTTTAAAGAAATTAATAAAGATACATGGCGCATGTGGCAGGGTATCCAGGCCATTACTGCCTACAGGGCTACTCCACGCACCAGTGACAGAGATGCCTCCCTTCTGGAATCGCTGAATAACTTCTATGAGGGATTTGAAACACTAAATACAGTGCCTGCGATAAAGACCATACCTCCTCCCTTTGATCAGGTGCTTTGCCTGTCCTCGGCTGATGTTAGGAAGACACTAGCAAAAGTTATCCCATGTAAGGCTGCTGGACCTGCCAACATGCCTGGTTGTGTGCTCAAGGAATGTGCAGCACAGTTTGCTGAATTTTTTTACAGACATTTTAATATCTCCCTGTGCCAAGGCAGTTATTCCTGTATGTTTCAAGACCACCAAGATTATATCAGAGCTGAAGAAGACTACTGTGTCCTGTCTCAATGATTATCACCCCATGGCACTCACACCATATGTTTTTCCTGTCTAGCAGTGCACAGCACTGTGTCAATTTGCAAGGAGAAAGTGATATAAAAACACCCAAAAGATTGCAAGAGAGCAAAAAATTAATGGAGAACGGCTATTTCTTTTTACCCGTGGGTCGCTTTATCACATTCCATCTAGTTTTGAGGATGTACAAATTGTTGTTGTACTATAAATGTGACTACCTTCTCCAGGATTTTTTTTTTTGAGGCAGGTTTTAGGAGACTTTTATTTTGAAAGATGCTGCCAAACTAGCATCGCTTAATATAGCTGGCTTCACGCTACTACAGGGCATTTTGTCCTCCTTTTCTTACCGTCGTTTTCAAGAGCGTTCGGTTGCTAAGATACCTAACCCTGCAACAAAAAGTTAAAGTAGTACGCCTGGATTTAGCAAACGAAAGTCCATAAAAAGGAACAAAAAGGTTATATAAATAATTAAAAATATGTAATTATGGTTTAATTTATTTTTGTGATTGGAGTCTTGAAACGTCTGTTCTAAACATTTCTTGGTAAGTTATTAGTGTAATACAAAGTATTAAGAGTAGTTTGTCGTTCGTACCGTCTTTCTAACTGCTTTAGACAAGGAAAAGTCATGTAACAATAACGTTTTCATTTATTTAAATATGTCACGAGGCTTTACGGTTTGAGTTTTCTTTTATTAGATTTTCCAAAGCGTTGGCACTTGTGGAAGACAATGGATCTCGGCATTCGTCAGTTATTGGCAAAAGCCGAATCTGAACAGGGTATGCGCTCTAGCTGTCTCAAGTGTTTATTAGCTAATTTTATGTGAATGCATTTTTGATTAACTCTCTCTCCTATAGACGTCGAGGCTTTGAAGAATGCGTATCATTTGATCAAAGCAGCTACGGAAGAAAGAACAGCATCGGATACGACTGGGAGCTTCAGTCCCGAATTAAATGTTCTTTGTGCAGAGCAAGCGCTCCAGGTACAAAATCCAAATCCTTATTCTGTAATACCTATCAACAGATTCAAACTAACAAATCCTGGTATTGAATTCTTCCAGTTTTCTGATTTTGTGCACTGATTGAAACAGGCCACAGAAAAAGAGCAGCATCGGGTACATTACAAAAGAAAGTTTAACAACTTTAATGGAGACTCACTTTAAGTGTGTCGTTAAGTTTTACACTTTTCACCATGGAATAAATGTGGGGAGGCCTTTTATCCAGTCTGCTCCATTTGGTAGTTAGGAGCTATTTGATCCCAGCTGTTTGTGAGCACCAGGGTATCAGCTTCAGCAGTATGGCTGAATGGTTTGTTCCATACTCCTCCCACCCTTTAAAAAGTGTAAATAAGTATGTCCTGTCCTTAGTTTGAAATTAACTTCCAAATAATTTCTACTTCTGTCCTCTGGTTTGTGTTTCACTTTTTTTCTAGTGTATTCCATGTTTTATTTTGGAAAGTCAACTGGGTTGAGGCAAAGTGTCCTTAAGAATTCTGAATACTTGTATTAGGTCCCCATATTGTCTTCTCTGTTCAAGACTAAACAACTGTAGGGCAGGGATCAGTGGTCTAAAACTCAGGTCTTGGAAGGTCTTCTGGCTTTTGTTCCAACATTAGTAGTCAATTAAACAATTATCCTAATTATTTTTTAAATTCACACCTGAAGAAGGCTCCACGGCCAAAATGTTGTGTTTTCTTTCTTCTCTTTTCAGCATGGAATAAACCTATTACTTGTTCCTTTACAGCCTACACATGCTGGCACAGCTACCCACCTGAAACATTTTCTAAATTATACACATACAGTATATTTCTTATGATCTTTCCCAATTGATTACAAAAAGATGGAGTTGAGTATAAATCACCTTGAAGCCTGGTTAGAAGATTTACATTTATGCAGTTAAATAAATGACTGTACCAATTACATTATGTAACTGACTCTAGGCCCTCCAGGAATTGAGTTTGAGATCCCTTGTTTAGGACATTCCCTTCAGCCTTGGAATATTTTATGGTGTTTTCCTCTGTTTTCAGCATACATTCACTGTGCTTTACTGCTCTGACCATAGTATTAACATGGATCATTTCCCATTTTCAGGGAAGGCATATTGAAACTACAGGACAAAGCTACATAATAGCTACAGATGCCACAACAAAGCTACAGTATAATGATTTGTAAAAGCTGTTGGTAAATTATTTACCGTAATATTCAGTGGTTTTTGGATAGAATCAAAAAGTCCATCGTAGAAAGCAATAAAATCAATTGAGTTAACTTGAATATTGACATTATTTAAACCAGGAAAAAGCTTTCAAGAGATCAAATTCGATCACTTCATTTTATACTGATGCCAGTCTCAATAGTCAGCATTAATTAATCATTACAAATTGATAAAGAGTTTGCAATGTAAGGATAATAAAAACATACCACAATTATGTACAGTTTCAGTATTTGAATGATTTTTTTGTTTGCTTTAAGCAGTATTGTATATTTTAGGTCATCTTGGATCAGAGGATATGCTAAGGTAGAAAAATAATAAACACTGCAAGGTCAGGAAAATATTTTTTATCACATTAATACTACCAATTAGACATTTGGAACTAAAAAAGTGACAGTGGGTCAGTGGGTTTCTAATTAGAAGAGTAACATTTTTTAGATCTTGGTCATTTCTTTCCAAGCTGTGGCTTTCATACATAGATGATAGACATGATGACATACTGCTTTCTCAAAATATAACATCTAATTTTTATAATGAAACAGGTGTTAGGTTAGCAGCAGGTGGTCTATTGTAGAAATATTATCACAAATAGAAAGCAACCCTTAATGTGATAAATAAATGTTCGTTTTTTAAAACCAGCTCTACATATGTTAAACATTAGCTGTCTACATTGTGTCAGACCCATATCACTGTATCTATAAATGTACATTTTATACTGTAATTGTCTTTGGGGAGTGACCTATTGGATATTTCACCTAACCAATCAGTATCACTGGATTATTATCTGTGATTATATATACCCAGGAAGTGAGGCTTTCTGACAATCTGTCAATATGACGCCTGAAGCGTAGAGCAGATCCTATCTGAATGCATTGTACAGGTTAGAACCTGGGTCATGTCACTAATACCTAAGCAGCAGCAAACATCTCTGCGTTGCTGAGTGTAGGTAATAGGGAATAGTCAGGCTCTCTCAGCTCTGGGTTAACACCGTGCCTGCAGCGGCTTCCAAAGTGCTTTCAAGTTTTCAGTGTTGCCAATCTGGACATACAGTACCTGCTGTCTGCGATGTGCTGAAAAAAGGTGAGGGGCTTGAAGGTGGACACATTGGAAGTGTTTGCCTACACTTTGCCGTTCTCTTCTCCCGTGTTAATGGGTTTGTAACTGTGCGCCAAGATATGAAAAACACAGAACTGGTCATTCCAAAATATGGTGGACATACCCAAAATATTTGGCAATTCTAAATGTAAGAAAAAAGAAAACTGCTGAATGTGATTTTCTGCATATTGTGTTTTAACCTGATATCTGAAAACAATAAGCAAATTATCAAAGTTGACATTACAAAATGTAATTCCCGTAACTCCCTGAATCCAACTGAATGAAATCTGGCAAGGTCTAGTGCACCTTAAGAAAATAGATTTTTGGGACAATTGTTTTTTGGTTAAGGGTGAAGTGGGAAGGGTTGAGCCATAAGTGTTATTAAACATAATCTTGAATATAATCATAAATAAATATTCTGTAGTCTCTAACACCCTTGGGAAAATTTGGTAAGTGTAGCCTTATGAGTATTGCAAAGTATTTGTGTTCTGAAGTTTTAATGACCTATAAACCTGCAGGGTGCAAAACAAAGATAAATAAATAATAAATTAATGCACTTATCAGTAAATTTAATTTTAATATTTAACTTTCAGGACTTAGTTTTAACAGTTAATTTTTTTTTTTTACATTTCTACTTAGAAGTTGGATTTTTTTATATTATCTAAATACGATTAATGTGATTAATCATTTCTCAAATTAAATGTTTTTTTCCCAAGTTGGGCAATAAGGAGATCAGTAAGGACTGCCTAAAGATGTACTTTAAGGGACAACCTCCAAAAAGTCAATTTCTTGGCAGAGCTTATTTGTGCCAAGGCCAGCTGTTTGCTCCAGAAACTTTTGGAAACGTGGTAAGAGTACTTTTCTTAATTTTATTAAATATTTTTCAACCTTCAGTTGAAGTTGAAGAAATTCATTTAAAATAACTATGTACATTTCAATCTCCATCTATTCCTTTATATCTTGAGTTAATTTTTAAAAGCTTACTTTTTCCTCTGGCAGTTTGTTTCTGCTAAGTAGTGTTTCTACGACATGTATATCATATATTGTTTATGAGACAATACAAACAGTAGCACAGGGGATGCAAGCAATTTAACAATATTTTTAACTATAAATTGTAATCCACAAAATAAATGTACAGTACTTACATTTGCCTAATTGAATAATTACAAACAAATATCAAAACTCCACCCTTAAACACAATATTGTGCAAAGGTGACAAGGTATAAAATCCATCATCATTATTATTTAGGGTAAGCTTTTTCTATTGAGATCATTTCTCCTGTAATTTACAGTAAATGGTTCTTAGACTTCCCTTTTTTTGTCTGGAGCATAGGGATTTTATTACGGGGATGCAAATGATATGCAGTTTCATATTACTTTGGAATCATTGAATACCTATTTGACGTTCTCTAGTGTTTAACATTTTTTCTTGTCAAATTGGATAGTTAAAAAAACTTTGTTTTGGTTATAAAAATGCTGCTTTCATGTTTAATTTTATCAAATTTTCTGCTGATTTTAGGAAGAACTGGAAAAGGCAGCTGTGTATTTCCTTAAAGCAATTGAGATTTCAAAAGAACAGCCAAGGTATGCTATTTAAGCAGAAATCTGAGTTATCTTTCTCTGTTATCTTTTTCTGCTTAAAAGTGAATTATGGTCAAATTGTTTTAACTTCAGAAAATATATATTTTTGTATTTACTAGTATTATTCAATCAGAATTTGTATGTATGCAGTAATATAAACATAACTATGCCAGTAAGAAATGTAAACTGTTATTATTATCCAGAAATATTTAGCAGAACTAACCAATCAAAGGCAACTGCTTAAAATATTTATAAAAGTGTAGCTATATTGTAGGACTTCAAAGTTATGAAGTTTGCATGTCCATGGTGGACATTATTGCACAAACCTTCAAGATGTTCATTATTAACTAATGGTCAGGAGACAACACTTGAGGCCAATAGTCTTTAATCAACTTTAATGATAATGGTTAATTATTTTAGTGTTTATTCTGAAGGAAGACATTTCCTAGAATCTAGAATCCTTATTAATAATATTATTTTGTTATTTATTTAATTATTCTGAATATACTGTTGCTATTGATGTGTATTAAAGAGAAAAGTGGTCATTATAGACTGCTCAACTTTCTTTAACACCTGAGTTTCTGAGATGTTTATCTGAGCATAACTGTTATAAGTATCAAATGCAGGTAGTAAATTCCAGCCCTGTCCAAATCTATATATTTTAGATAATTAATGAGGGCTGCATTACTTTAATGCAATTGAATTAAGAGAAGGCAGTAGAACAAAGTTTAATATTCAATATTTAGATACTAGATATGGCCTCTAAACCTTTTTCCTACAATAAAATGTCAGAGGTATAATGTATTAATATGACCCCATTGACCAATTGTTTCTTTGTCTACTTAAATATTTAATTAGGGAAACTTTTACAGTTGATATAGAGTCAAATAAATTAAAATGATTAGAGTAAGACCATATTATCTTTCTTAATTGCACAATAAATGTGAAAATGTGAATTTTCATTTTGAAACTGTTTCTATCATGAGTGAAATTGCTTTTAGTGATTTCTGGTTTTCAAATACTGTTTTTTAATATCTATGTTTTTGCCCTTTTTTAAAATAATAGTAGTGGCTAAAAAAGAACTGATTTACATAAATTACATATATTAATTTGGTTTTTATTTTGAAGTTTTTTGTTGTTGTTGGTCATGAAAAACAAGTTTTTGATTTGCAAAAAGATACAAAAGTTAATAGAATTTTGTAAATTGTTATTGTATTTATTATAAAGGTCATTTTAGGATGGAACACAAAAGCATTTTGTAAGTTTTAATTATCTAATAATATAATCCAGACCCAGTTTTGTAAAAGAGCAAATTTACTCACTTGTGACTCCTCTCAAACCATCTTCAAAATGTTTTATTGTCCCACTAAGAATAAATGTGACATTTGTATATATTTAAATTTTTCCTTCACAGGTACTACTTTGTGATTTTCAATGCATCTGTGCTTTACTGGCAAATGGTCAGACCATTCCTCAGACCTGGATTTCGTCAATTTTTAATACCCACTTTAACTCAGGTCTGCAAATCTCTGGAGGAAATCGGAGAGTCAGATTACAGTTGGAGGGCACAGCTAATGTTGTGAGTTTTCAGTTGGTTTCACATTAAATTACCAAGGCCTGATTATTTGTGAGTTAGTTTGGTTTTGCACTTCAAAAAGGTAAACAATTTGCAAGCTCAATTAATTAGATGTTGATTTCTTGCATCAAATGTAATTTGATGTGACATTTTACAAATATGAACCTGGAAATTTTACTTTTCCAGTCTCAGTTTGTTATTGCAGTTAATAGGCTATATTCAGAATACAATCCAAAAACACCAAGAAAATACCTCTGAAAGATATACTGTGTATGTTGACATATACAGTATGTGCAAAAACTGCATAAAGATGATCAAGTTCACTAAGAGGTGCACAAAAAAGTTCAATCACAGGCCAAGAATGCAAATATAAAATACATTACACAGAAAATTAATAAATATATAATATTAATACAGAAAATAAATATAATAAAAAATAATTTCAACGTTTAGTGTCAGGTTACTCAAAAATAAAATTCCTGTTTTCCCATTAACAGAGAGCTAGTGGAGTCCTTTTTAGATGCAAGAAAAATTAAAGAAGCTGCCAGTTTTGCTAAAGTTACATCAGAATTCATTGAAGCAAATGCTCCAGATCTCTACCCAAAGATCTTTTCCCTTCAGGTAACTGTTTTTTGTCTGTAAAATAGTTGAATACTTCGTGAACAGTGTTTGGTAAGAAGATGAATGTAGACTTTGAGGGATGATTAAAGATTTTAAATATACATTTCATGGTTTGTTTTTAAGCTATGAGACTGCTTATTAAGTAATGACTTTTTTAAAACTTTTTTATTGGTTTTGACAATTTTACTACTGCATAGTGTATTTAAAATTCTCATCCATAATTAAGCGTTATTTCCGTTTGGTGTAATGCATAATTAAGCAATAATTTATGTAAGACATCACATTAATCATAGAATTAACTTGTCTTCCATCACTTTGATTTGAAATGAGAGATCTATTATTTTATTTTGTAATATAGTTAGTGTAAAATCTATTAATAAGAGGATATTATCTACATTTTTTTCAGGTACGCCACAAACTAATGGATCTTGCCAAAGCAGCCAAGAAAGCCAAAGCTAATCTTGGTTTAGCAGTTATTTATAAAATGCAGAAAATAAAATCGTAAGTTATTTGGAAATATTACCTGTAACATTCTAACATTTTACCAGATTTTGTAAGTAATGAGAGTGTCTTCATTTATAGAGGGTTCTGTCAAGAAATGTTTTTTGATTTGTTATTAAGTGCTTACAATAATATGTACACTGGTATTTTTTACTTTTATGAGAAACCCATTATTATTTATTGTCAAGATACAACTTACCTCTTCCTCTCTTTTTCCACAATGTCTTATTTATGTAAATGAAATATTAACATAAGTATATAAGTATTAACATATGTATTATTCTCCATTTAGTCAACTGGAGACCAATGAATCAGTAAAAGACAGCGCAGCACAACTGAAAAACATTTACCTTCTTCTGGTGCAGTCTGAATTAGGACGCTCACTAAGTCCATTCCAAGGTTCTGCTTCTAAGCTGACAGAGAGTGTTTCTCAGATCCCGGTGTCAGAAAGGTATGTATATATTATCTGAAATGAGAACCTTATGGGCAAAAAGCACTATACAGAATAGTGAGGTTGCTTTAATTTCTGCCCTAACAGAAAATAGGCAATCTGTAATGAAAAAGTATTTTATTTCTGTAAAATCCATATTCAAAAAATACTCCCTGACATGAGCTCCGTGAAGTTGGTCCCCCTACAGACAGCACAAATGATGAAACCCACCTCATTCGTTAGTGTTACGTTTGTGCCGGCTTGTGCCATTGAAAGCAGCGTTTGTACTGCTTTCGTTTCCGAGATATAGCGCCTTGTTTTTCGGGGTCGTGACATCACTCAGCCCCCCTACAATGTCGTAGGGGAACCGGATCGGTCTCATTTGTTAGTGCTGTATTTGTGCCGTTGAGAGTAACTTGGTCTGGTCCATAGATATAACATCTTCTTTTCAGGGGGTGACATCACTCAGCCCCCCCCCCACAACGTCGTAGGGGTACCAGACTGGTCTCAATCGTTAGTGCTGCATTTGTGCCGTTTTTTCAAAGAACCTAGATATATGTTCACTTCTGTTCGGTGAAAATAAAAATATTTTCCAATATTGCCATGGTCTGCATGTGTGAGATGGTGGTAGACCCTTGTTTCTTGGATGTGTTATTAACTGTGTAAACTTTGTATATAGTGCCCCTTTAAAAAACAAAAGTCCTGAAGTCCTGGTTCCTTTTCATGTTGGCGAATGTGCTTTGCATAAAAAAGAGCAATGTCACATGCCCCTGGATGCCTATGTTTATTTAAGAAGAAGACAATGTGAAACTGATTAAATGCAGCACTAATAATTGAGGCCAGTCTGGTTTCCCTACGACTTTGTATGGGGGCTGAGTGATGTCACCCCCTAAAAAAGAAGACGTTATATCTAAGGAATGAAAGCAGCTGGGAAGTTACTTTCAACGGCACAAATGCAGCACTTACAATTGAGATCGGTCCAGTTTCCCTACGATGTTGTAGGGGGGCTGAGTGACGCCACACCCCAAAAACAGAAAGGCGCTATATCTCGGAAACGAAAGCAGAACAAACACTTCTTTCAACGGCACAAACCGTTTACCATACATTTTGGTAAAATAGTTCATATGTTGTTAAAATTGACTATTTAATCCGATAATTTAGAGAATTCAGTGTACATCCTGTGAATTTGTTTTATTTAAACTGTGCCACTTTGGATTTGTACAGTACGTTATTTGTTTAGGTCAGTTGTACTTCTCTTTGATGATGATATCTGTGTTCCTACAAAGGAGTAAATTACATATAATATGATAGGTTTTCTATTTTTTTATTGAAAGTGCTGTATTCCAGCTCCATTTCTAAAAAATTAAATTTGAGTTTGATATGCGATTTGTTAGTGTACTGTATTTGATCCATTTGTAATATTGAGATTATAAAAAGAACATCTCCATGTGTTCTCCACTTACAATAACATAAAATCTTTCATTTTTTGGGGAATTTGTAGGATTTCACTGCTTAAGGAATTAACTCGCCTTTCATTAGAATTAAGATGCCCTCAAATTGCTGCTGAATGTTTAAAAGAACTGAAGCGAGTTGGACTTTCAGTAAGTGCTCATTTCTTTTTGTTTATCATTACCCCAGTTTATGACAGAACTATGAGTCATTATTTGCTTATATATCTGCTCTTTATCAACATAGTAAGTATAGTTTGACACACCATTGCTCTGATGTTTTGGTTTGTTTTCCATTGGCAATTAAACCACAATATCCTGAAGTGGTAATGCTTGAAAGTTAAAGTACCTCCTTTAGAATTCATTTAAAGTAGGAGCAGGGAATTAACAAGTAATCATATTTATTAGTGTATGTTGGTCAAAATTATACTTGTTGATAAAAGTATACATGGAACTTGTTGGTGGAAAGAAGAAGGTGAGGACGAATTTTAAGAAGATAATGATCTCAAGCTGTTTTGAGTATTACACGATTTTCAAGTCAGGAGTTAAAGAACTGTAACCAACTTTCTGTTGTAAAGGAATCATTTTGTATATGTACAGAACTCATGATTTAACATTCTTGAGGATCTGTTGTATATTTTGTGATAACTGTATTTTATTAGTTTTCTATAACATAAATACGCACCTGTCTGTCTTGTCTCAACTACAGACATTTGAGGGTATTCATTGTGGGTAAAACAAGATCTGTGAAATCAATCATAGAAAACTTTCTGAAGAAATTGGCAGGCAAACAGTAGTTATTAATAGTTTAAACTATTATTTCAATAGTATAATTGGTTACTGATGTTGAATATTCAGCATTTTATATAAAAATGTTTTTTCCTGTCACTGTATATGCTGGATTTACTTTGTACAATATTTTATCTTTGCTATTTTTGTCTTTTTTATATTTTTTTAGGATATTGGAGTTCTTATAGAGATAGAATGCTTGAATTGTGAACTTGAGCTGCAAAACCAAGGAACAAAAATTGAAGAATATTCT